TTATACAGAGTTAAAAGCAGGTGTGACAGAGACAGTATGGCCCAGGAAACTTAAAATAGTTACTTTTTCCGGACAAGGTGATATCTGTATTGGTATGCAAATGTCCCTGGGCAACTGACATCTAAACTCTAGAGGTTTCTCTTCCCAGTATGACCAGTGCAGAAATTTCCAATACTACGTAACTATTTGGCTATTCCTGCCCCCTCTAACTTCCCTATAAATCTGGGAAGCAACTCAAGAGCAGAGGCCCACAAGTACCTCTTCATGGGAGGAGGTGGGCGTGAGGACTGCTGCAAATTTTTTCCTCCATCAGCCTGGGCCAGCACTTGCACTCGGTGTCACTGGGGTTGGTTATGTCTTTCCCCCTCCACCCTCTTACTCAACTAATAATGAAAGAGGAAATGAGCACAAAGAGCAATGACCCGCAGGTGGCTCTAGCACCCCTCTAGTGGGTCACAAATGAGGACAAATTAGAATTGCAATGAGGATTTTAGATTATTTTTTGCTTTGTGGAAGTTAATACTTCGGCACTGAGTAAAGCAGTGAAAGCAAAATTTCCCATTATTATTTTCTTTTGCTATTGGTTTATCTCATTGCTTGTAGTGGTAGGTACAAAAAAAAAAAAAAAAAAAGAAAAGAGGGCCTTCCCTGGTGGCACAACAGGTTAGGACACAGCACTGGAAGCTAGCCACAGCCGCACTGGAAGCTAGCCACAGCCGTTTTATTGCGAGTTTGATCCCCAGCCCCAGAGATGGTCCACATGGTGTGGCAGACCTCTCCTGACCTGCCCACTGCTCCCCTCAGCAGTGTACTTCGCTGATCTGCCTGTTCTGCTCCCCACGCTGTCTCTGGTGAAGCCTCTCAGCACCTCTGGGCTGTACCCCAGTTCTGTATGTATAAATAAAGCAATCTTTAAAAATAAACAAACAAAAACAAATTACAACATACAAAGATTGCGTTCCTTTAAAAAAAAAGAAAGAAAGAAAAGCCATACTTTTATTTACTTTTAAATAATTCCTGAGGGGTAAAACATCACACAGATTCGATGCCAGTGACCTTAATAGGAAGCTTGTTTAGAAATTCAACAAAAACTGGGGTGGGAAGAGCACACGGGACTATGGTGATGGCACATGGGTGAAGTGGTGATGGGAAGTCCATGAGGATTACCAGAGATGAAAAACTGTACAAAATGAAGAATAATGTGAAACATGTAGTTATAAAATAAAATAATTAAAATAAAATTCAAAAATTGAACACAAACCAGGGTGCTGTTTCTGTAGGCATAGCTGCCTTTCCTTGGGTGACCTGGCTTGTTTTGGTTTGCCAACTGGAGTTAGTATGTCATCCTCTGCTTTGTGCATACAAGCACATCTCTTGTGTGAATCAAATTCAGTTTCATCTCAGGTATAAACACCTTAAATTTTATATTTCCTGGGGTTCCAGAGACCCCACCTATAGGTGAAAATAATGGCCTTGGACTGTAACCTCCCAGATATGAGTGTCAATTTACACAAAGTGTCCCAGCAGGCTTCCGGGGCTGTGTGGTGATGGAAGGAGCATTTCACTTTCCCTGATGTTTCTGATAGACTCTTATTAACTGGCCAAGAATTTGTGGTCAAAGATTTCTCTATCAAAAGAATGAACACTTGGGGTAAGTCTGGAAATTAATGGTGTGCTCAGTTCAAATTGTTAGATAGGACTCCCACATTTAGCTCTTCTCCTGTCCAAACTCTAATGAAATTATGCATTTTTAAACTAAGAAAAGAATCCATGGTTTTATTCTCAATTTTATGATAGTTGACCAAAACTTACTAATTATAAGCATCCCATATTGCTTTAGTAGATATGAATGTAAAATGCTACTAGCTCCCACTTGAAATGTTTTCCCCAATGCTCTTTAGCTTCTTTGACTCTTATTTTGTCATCTTTAACCTAAAGAGGAAGGTGTATCTATTGAGAGGATGCTAACCAGGCCACAGCACAGTTCCCAGAGCATGGCAGATGCTCAATAAGCATTGGCTGTTGTTATTACTAGCCTCAGCCTTGTAGCTGGAGAACCAGATTTGGAATATCATAGCCTACCCCCTTGGGCTGATCTGATATTTAAATGTCAACAATGATGCTTGGGGGCAGGGGGAAGTGAAAATGATGAAAGACTCAGGAAGTATACCAAAACCACTCAAAATGTTTTCTAATTGGGGAGCTCAAGGAAAGGCAGTATATTGTGAAACCATCTGGGTTTTTTTGTTGTTGTTGTTTTTTGTTTGTTTCTTTTTTTTTTTTTTTCTGAACAAATAGTTGACACAGTGTCAGATACTCTGGATACCACTTACTTTCTATCCGCTCCATATCTTACTCACTACCCCAATCAGTTCTACACAGGCTTTATTCCAGCTCTATGTCCATATAATCTGACAGCACTTGAGCTTGATCATCACACAAACCTCTTTTTTCTTGCCTCAGGGGTTCTCTGATGCTGAGCTCTCATTGCCTATAGAAGCCTGCATAATACTCACACATATGCAACCTGGAAATATTGAATAAATACTCGACTAAAGGGGCTCAGACCCAATGGAAATATCTCAGTGAAGGAAATATTTGGTAAGCATGTGGATAGAATTATTTGTCCTGTGGAGGTTAGTCAGTCAATCTCTCCCCTCAGCTAGTACAACAAGCCCACACACAGAGACTGTGGTGGCAAGGACGGAAGCTGGGCGTGGGCCCAGCGTGGGCTCTCTCTCATCAAGGCCCATTAAAATATTGCTACTGCTGAATGCCAAACCTGCTATTAGCAGATATATATGTCAAGTTTCAACACAGCACCTACCTTCAAGGAGAAAATACAGCCTTAGCACTCTGAACCCCTGCCACTCTACAAAGGAGGACAATCCACCCTTGGAAGAATCAAGACTTACTACAGATACGGGTTTTTCCCCCTACCAGTAATATTTCTGACAGCCCAGTCATCCAAGGACTTACAGAATGCCTTCTAGTACGTTATTTTCACAACATTGCCTCAAGCTAAGGGATGCCTTTGAACACAAATGATGTGAATCAGTAGCTTATGAGATATGGTGTTACCATATACTTAATCATCCAAAAGTAGCCAGACCAAGAGAATCACAAGATGGTAATAACTCAGCTAAGACAACAACAAACTTCAGGTTAGGACTCATCTTCCCAAATGCAGTATTGCACTAGACCAAATTCTAGTGGATTATGTTATGTCCCCAGTACTGAGGATACACAGGAACAAGGGGTTGATGTAGGATCGGCCCCTCCCATGATCCATTTGTGATTCCCATCCTGCAACACCAGGCTCTCTGGGATACAGTGGAGTAGGCTCTTCTGGGTGCTAACTAGGGGTGTGAAGGGGGCAAAGGGAGCACAGAGAACAGGAGATGAGCCAGTGTTTACTCACCACTCTTCTTAGGTTTATATAAACTTCATACAGGTGTTGTACATAAGCCTGTGCCTTGTAACTTTAGCCTCCTGCCCAGGGGCTTCTCTGATCCTGAGGGATGGAACATGTGAAAGAACATAACACACATACATGAGCAAATCAGAAATGTGAAGAAGTTAATATCTGCAATCCACCATTGGCCAGTGAATGACAGTTCCTTTCATCTGTTGCTGTGTAACAAACTACACAATCCTTGGTGATACTGAATGACAAGTCTTATTTTCTACTCAAAAAAAAAAAAAATTCATGCAGGGTACAGAAGGAATGGCTTGTCTCTGCTCCATGATGCCTGGGATCTCAGTCTGGGTTTACCAGTTCCATATTTTATTCTTGCCACACTATCAAGGAGTAACTCAAATGAATGGGTTCGTCTAGAGCAGTGCAGTCTTGCAGAAATATAATGCAAGTCACAAATGTAATTTTGAATTTTCTACTAGCCATAAAAAAGGAAAAGGAAGGGCCCTCCCTGGTGGCGCAGCGGGTAAAGCACAGCACTAAGAAGCTAAAGCCACTTCAGCATGAGTTCAATCCCCGCCTGCCCCGGAGGTGACCCACATGGCGCGGCAGACCTCTCCTGACCTGCCCGCTGCTCCCCTCAGCACTATACTTCAATGATCTGCCTGTTGTGCTCCCCACTCTGTCCCTGGTGAATCCTCTCACCATCCCTGCACCTCTGGCCTGTACCCCAGTTCTGTATGCATAAATAAATAAATCTTTAAAAAAAAAAAAGGTAAAGCAAACAGATGAATTAATTATAATGATATATTTTCTTTAGCCTAGTATATCCAATATATTATCATTCAACATGTAACCAGTGTAAAATATTATGGAGATAGTTTACATAGGGATAGTAAATCTTTGATATCCAATATGTAATTTATACTTTTAGAACCCAGTTTAGACTTGCCCATTAAATTGTTCAACAGCCACAAGTGGCTGGTAGTTCTTACATTGGACAACTGAGACCTAGAGCTTCCTCACGCCTGTGTCTGGCACCTAGGCTGGTGTCCTGAAGCTCTGCTCACTGGGATATCTACCAGAATACCTATGCTTCCTCATAGCATGGCAGCCTCAAGTTAGTCAGTCTTCTTAAATGGTGACTGGGGATCCAAGAGCGGGTTCCAGTGAACAAAGTCAACACGGCTTTTCACAACTTAGCCTCAGAGTAAAGGATCAAGGTTCTTCACAAGTGTTAACGTGTTAGAACATTCACTCTGGTCATTACCCTGTAAATGGTTATGGTGCAGTTGAAGGTGAGGTGCTCCAGAGGGGAAAAAACAACTCTGCTTTAGAGGATGGAATGAGTCTCTAGGGGAAGGGTCCTTTGTAAAATACTCTTTGTATCCATAAGGCAGTTGAAAAGCCTCAAGCCATGCTTTGTCCTCTACTTCCTATTGCATCTGCCTTGTTCCTTTTTTCAGAAATAGTATGCTGTCTATTACATGGGCATAGAACAGCATTCTGACTACTGCTCTGGGACTTCCTGGTCCTCCTATTCTTTAAATACAAGGACAGAGCCGGAGTCCATGGGGATTGAGAGCAGAGCGCCCAGGAGTCTACAGGCCGGCTCTGCCTGCACACAGGAAGATGAAGCTCTCTGCAGCAGCCCTCCTCTTCCTCTTCTTGGCAGCAGCCCTGGCCGATGAACTCCAGGTTTCGCAGGGTGAGTTCAATGAGCCTTCTCACTGGTGGTCAGGTCCAGGGTAAGTTGTGACCTGGGGAGGAGACAGCAGATTCGTTGTCCTCTTGTGATTGCTCCTTGCCCCAGACATGGTATGAAAATGACACTTGTTTAAAAGCTGCTTCAGTCCCTGCAACCTGGCAAACACTGTATAAAGATATCTGATCTGACTTGGAGAAACAATTCTCTCCCTTCTCATGACTACAATCATTTGATACCTTCTCCTAGCTGACACATTAGGTGGTAGGTCAAAAGAACTATTATAAGTTGTAAATTTTAGAAAGCATAGCTCTAGTATTCTAGAACTATTATATGCCATCTAATGTAAAGCTATCATTTTAGAAAGGAAATGGGACAAGTCAGGTAAGCAACTCACTGAAGTCTGCCTACCCATTTTATTCATTTATTTTTTGTAATTACATACCTGGGCCCTTCCTGGTGGCACAGCGGGTTTAAAGCGCAGCACTGCAAGCAAGCTGCAGCCGCTTCAGTGCGAGTTTGATCCTCCAAAGATGACAACTGCTCCCCCAGGCCATCCTGTCCTGACAGTCAGCTCCCCTGGGGAAGACAGTGTCCACTGATGCTTCCTGCAGGAATTAGATCTTTCCCCCACTGGGAGAAACAGTCCTGGTCCTGCTGTGTCCCTGCCAGGCTGCCTTCAGACACATAGCTCAACAGAGCTCGAGAGTGAAGCAAGGAGGTGCCAGCAAGTGCTAGCAGAAGAAAGCCCTGTACATTCTCAGCCTCCCCAGCACTTCAGAATTAAAAAGGAAAGGGTTTTCTCTAAGAGGAGCACTTTCTCTTATAGATACCGCCGTGCACAATGCTGCTGACTGCTGCTTCAGCCTCAGCACACAAAGAATCCGATGTAGGAACATGAAGGATTACTCTGAGACCAGTGGGTGCTCCCTGGATGCTGTCATGTAAGTGCCAAGCTCACTGTCCTGTCTTGGAAGGGAGAACTTTGTTTGTTTTTCCATATATTTTACATCACTCTTCCTTTTTGTACAATGCATGCTTTCTCCTCTCGGGTCATAGTCCCTGCAAAATTCCCACCACCAATTCAACCTGGGCACCATCACCAGGTGTTTTGTACAATGATCTCTCATCCCTCCCCTGTTTTGGTCGCTCTTCCTCCCCCTCCCCTGCAGTGTCTCTGATTAATAGTTGCCTGTTAATTTTGTTTTTTAACTTATTTTCCTGGTCCCTCATTTGGCCCCCCTACATTCCTCCTATAAGCGAAACCATCCAATATTTTTCTTTTTCCTTCTGGCTTATTTCATTGAGCATAATAAGGGGTGGAGAAGTTAATAATACATTGGTTTCTGGAAAAGTTCCACCCCCTGGATCCTGCCAGGTAGGGGAGAGGTTTGTCCTTAGAATCCTGTAGGGCACCAGGTATAAGAGGCTCCCAATGGAGGGAGTTTAGAGGAAGAAATTGAGAGCAGGAACAAGGCTGCCTGAGAAAACCCCCATGAGTCACCTAGGGAGGCTCAGAGGCTGAAGGGGGTCCCAGAGAGGAAACACCCTGAGTTTCTGCAGAAGAAAAGGAAAGAGCAGGCTGGGCTGAGTGAGGGGGTAGAGGGCAAAAGGAGGGGGGCCCCCATCCCCATTTGATGAACCCTCCTTAATCTGTAATCTCTCTCCCCATGGCTTCACAGCTTCCTCAACAAGAAAGGGAAGAAGATCTGTACAGATCCACGTGAAGAAAAAGTTTTGAATTGCATGAAAGACCTGAAATTAAGGAAGGAAAGATCAAGGAAACAGACTTGACTGAAAAGAAGGCTGCCGATGCCTCACCTTGCCTCCACCTCTCACCTGACTGCTTCCTGGGAGTTTCTTAAACTGATTTACTTTTTTGAAAGCAGCAATTACTATTCTGTTCTGGCTACAAAGCAATAAAGCATCAATAAAGAGCATTCAACTAATTGTGCTTGAACTTTAAAAAGAAAAAGAAAGTATGGAACTTGCCGAACCAAAGTATGGATTTATGCTTATTAATTTTTTTCAAGATGAGAGATCATTGTACAATTTCTTAAAGCTAAAAACATGACTCATTCAAATATAGAGGGAAGATGTCAATGATGTATTTAACACATTAGTGAGAAAACAAACTTCAAGATCATTGGAAGAACAGAGATTCATAGTTATTGGGAATGGCATTCTGAAAGGTTTCTTAGAGAAAAACAGATTAATGTCCTATACGGTAATAAAACTGTAACTTTGGGGATTATCTTTTCTATCAGATAACAATCATTTGCCTCGATGCTAAATGTGAATATTAAATATAAAATAGTTACAAGATATAAAACAATTACAAGTTAACAAGTAACATCACAAAAACTGGGACCTGATCAATGGTAAATAGAATACCAATCAAAAATTTGTTCTTATTGCAGATTGCAAGCCTCCTGAGGCGGCCTTTCAGTCAGAGTTCCAACATGACAGGGAAGGTCTGCTGTTATTCGTTTGCCTTATTCCTACATTTTGGATGCTTTTTTTCTTAATAGATATACCTTCCTATAGATGTCACCTTTAACTTTAGAGAACAGGGCCCTCCTTGGTGGCACAATGGGTTAAAGCATAACACTATGAATCTAGCGGCAGCCACTTCAGCATGAGTTCAAACCCTGGCCGTGACCCACATGGCGGGCAGACCTCTCCTGTCTCACCCGCTGCTCCCCTCAGCAGTGTACTTTTTCAATCTGCCTGTTCTGCTCCCTGCTGTTTCTGCTGAATCCTCTCACCACCCCTGTACCTCTGGCCTGTACCTCAGTTCTGTATGCATAAATAAATAAATCTTTAAAAATAAAGAACAAAAAGAAGTTAAAGAACACTGACAAAAACATTTAAAATTGGAGCTAATAGCATTACATTCATATCTACTAAAATATGGTGTTTGCAATTATTACATCTTGGTCAACTATCTCATAAAATTGAAAATAACACACTAAGCTCTAAAAAAAATTATTTACTCAAAAAAATGTTCAAAACCTATGCTTACTTTGGGGGTGATTTATCATAAGGAATCAATAGCCAGCTATCTTTTATAATAGTGAATCATCATTAGAATAAAAAACCTGAGCCAGTGGTTAAAGCTGGCAATTATTGCCACCTACATAAAGATTAAACACAAAGTCACCCTATGTCTCATCTTATCCTCCCTATAAAAATCGCTCAATGGAGTGAGAGTTTTCTCTCACTCCATTGCATAGGCATGGAGAGGAGGTGACTGGAGCTAAGGGATAGAGCACAAGAATATGCAATTTAAACAAGCATTTCAGCAAATCTTGTGCAGTGGTCCTGGGGTCTCCCTTAGAGCTGCCCATTTTGGAGGTGCGGGTGAACTGGTAGGCAGGCCAGCTGGTAGGCCTGCAAAGGGAAAAAGAGTGCCTTAGTATATTTTACTCCTTGGGAATGATTTTCCCTTTTCTCAGCCCAAGTGGCAATCCTTGTTTCCCAGGTTGCACATACAGTTTCTGATCTAGAAGCCCTGCTCTTGTTGAGGAGAAGGAAGCAGGGTTGGGGGCTGGTCAGGTTTTCACTGACATTACCCACAAGGCCCATTTCTAGTGGGTAGAGGCGGTGGGCTTCCTGCCTTTGAGCAGGTCGTCCAGTGCCCCGCTCTCTGGCCCTGTATTTCCCTCTGGAAGACCACACACATATCCTTCTTTATTTAGATATCTGTTCTTGGAGCTCTATTTCTGAGCAAACCCCACATCTGATTCTTCTGAGATGGGGACTCACAAGGTCGGAGCTTGATTTGATCCATCCAAGCTTCTCCCAACATCCACTGAGGCCCCTACTGAGAAAATGTTTATTCAGTGACCTTCTCTATCACCTGGAGCAGATACAAGTTGGGTTTTTAGTTTTTGGGGTTTTTTGTTTTGTTTTGTTTTGTTTTGTTTTGTTTTGTTTTGTTTTGTTTTGGGAGGGGGCTCTTTTGCTTTGTCATCAAGCTGATACCTAAACTTTAGCTAGAACAGAAATTTCTCACCTATGGTCAGCATCTGTCATCTCTGTCATCTTTCTAATTCCCTACTGTTAATATTAACTTATTTTCATTTCCTATTTTCTTTTCATTTCAATGGGCTTTGGGGAGGCAGAAGAAGCAAACACATGGGCTTAGGGTCCTGACCTACATTTTGACCCATTTATGATCTTTCCTGCTGCTCACATTACTTCACTTGAATTCTGTTGAATTCAGAAGCTCTGGGTTTACACTAGCCCACAAAGCCCTGGCCTATAAGACTGACTGATGGCAACAGCAACTTTGGGCTTCTCCATAGAAATTTTGTTTCAGAGCCTTGGAGAAAAATCTCAGGTAGATTGTTGGACTAAAACTGTGCTAGACCTAAGGAGAATGTGTGTGGTTTCCCTAGGCCTTTGGCTGTCAAGAGCATGACCCCCTGAGCTGCGTAGACATCAGAGGACCAGGTGTCTCCTAATCAGGGCTCTGGGTTATGCCAACAGGCCATGCCAGCTAAATAGAAGTAAGGAACAGAAACTGGAATAGAAACTGAGCATTTCCCTTCTGATCAAGCATTTGGTCATTCCTAGAACACTTTTAGGGTCTTGAGGGGACAGTGACATCTTGCCTCTAGGTCAATTGCATAATACTCACATATGCCACTTTCCCAGTTCCTCAAATTAGTGTATTCTTTTCTGTTTCTTTGCATCTTGTGGTGCCTCTGTCGGTGCATCTCCTCTCAATTCTGCCCATCCTGCAAGGTTCAATAAAATCTTCCATCACCATCCCAGCCAGAGCCCAGTTCCCTTCCTATGGAATCCTGAGAGATATATTTATTGTTACCTGAACAGATAGCTCCTGAGTGACTACTTCATGTGAGTATCGTGATGATGTGTGCATCATGGTAGACATGTGAACAAAACAAACCAGATTCCTATCCTTCAGGTACAGTTCAGTGTGTAGAAAAGACTGAAAAAAAGAATATGACACTATGCATAAGAATAATATGTATCACTAAATTTATAAAGTATATACAACACTGGAGAAAAATAACAAGGCTGTTTATATTGGAAGTAACTAGCTTGAGGCTCATGCCTCTCAGGCCCAGTCAGGCTGCCTGAGAGCTTAAGAGGCCATTGGGTTGATGCACCCAAGACAGATCAAGGCTTCTAAAACTAGGGCATGTGCAAGACACAGGGACAGGACGCCTCCCTGGTGGTACAAGGGGTTAAAGTGCAGCACTATGAAACTATCCACAGCCACTGCAGCACAAGTTCAGTCCCCGACCAGGGAGGTGACCCACATGGTATGGGGTGGGCCAGGGAGGTAACCCACATGGTACAGGGTGCGGGGTACAGCAGACCTCTCCTCTCCCACCTTCTGCTCCCCTCAGCAGTATATTTCAGTCAATCTGCCTGTTTTCCTCCCACCTTCTCTGGTGAACCATCTTAGCCCCCACACCTCTGGCCTGTACCCCAGTTCCTGTATGCACAAATAAATAAATCTTTAAGGAAAAAAAACACAAAAGGATTTTAAACTAGAGAATCAGCAGGAGGGCCTGCTCAAACACAGATTGCATCATCTTTCCCTCAGAACTTCTGCTACAGTAGCACTGGTGTTGGGCCAAAGAATCAGCATTTTTCACCAGTTCCCAGGTAATGCTGATACTGCAGGGTGGAGTAGAAATTTGAAGAGGAACTCTCACTCTTGACTGTGTGACTCCAGCATTGTTTGCAACTTGATCAAAAAGCACATTTTCCTTCGAATCAAAAACTAATTTCAAGGAATTAGAAAAAAATGAATTATCATTGTCTTTTCAAGGAGAAATAACTAAATGTACTGGATCTTGAGTTGTGCTTATACTTGATATATATATATTTTTTAAAGATTTATTTATTTATTCATACAGAATTGGGGTACAGGCCAGAGATGCGGAGGGTGAGAGGATTCACCAGAGACAGAGTGGGGAGCAGAACAGGCAGATCGATGAAGTACACTGCTGAGGGGAGCAGCGGGCGGGTCAGGAGAGGTCTGCCACGCCATGTGGATCTCCTCTGGGGGCAGGCAGGGATCGAACTCATGCGGAAGCGGCCTCAGATTCTCAGTGCTGTGCTTTAACCCGCTGCGCCACCAGGGAGGGCCCTATACTTGATATTTTTTTAAAAAAAGATTTGTGTTTTATTTGTTGTTGTTGTTTGTTTGTTTGTTTTTCAAACAAGAGCTGGGGTATAAGCCAAAAGTGCAGGGGTGAAAGGATTTACTGAGTGGGGAGCAGAACAGTTATATCTACTGAAATACACTGCTGAAGGGAGCAGCAGAAGAGACAGAGAGGTCTGCTGTGCCATGTGGGTCAGCTCCCTGGTGGGCCAGGGATCAAACTCCTGCTGCAGTGGCTGGACTCATAGTGCTGAGACTTAACCCTTTGTGCACCGGGAGACCCTACTTGATATTTTTATGTCAAGATTTATCGAAGCTGCTTAATTATTATAAAAAATTGGGGAATGTTTAAACATGGCTAAGTAGAGTCTGAAAACAAAATCCAATTTTTTTAAAAGTAAAAATCTCAGAAGCTGCACAAAATAGCTAGGAAAAAATGTTCTTGGAAGTTGTAAAAAGAACAAACAAAAACTTAACTAGAGCTGCACAGAAATCATCAAGTCATAAAGTTGCAAAGGGAAATAGCCCTAATTTTATGGCTTCACTTTTTTTTCTTAACTATTTCACTTTTAGAACCACAAAAAAAGGGTTTTTTGTTTGTTTGTTTGTTTGTTTGTTTGTTTGTTTGTTTGTTTTAAGAGCTCACTCCCTTTTTTCTTGGTAAGGACCCGGGGACACAACTGAGGACTCTGAGGACTCAATCATGGCTGAGGGCATGAGCCACAAGGCTGAAGCCAAGTTGGGGCTGGGTCTGAGGACACAGCCCATGTGGCAAGAAGATGTGTTACATAGAGGGGAAGCAGCAAAGTAGTAAAGAAGTAAACACTGAGGGTAAAGGGAGTCAGTGTTGACTTGGAGTTGCCTTCCTCATCGCGTAGACAGGTGACCTATAAAATAGATACTACCAGTTAATTCACACACTTAAGCCTGTGTGCTTCAATATCTTTCCTAGTTCTGCCTACTGAGAGCTCAGACCTAAAATGCAATAATACCCTTAGCATATCACGGATCACACGTTTTGGTTTCTCAACGGTCTCATGGTTTCCTCAATGACTGATGTTGAGCTTAAAGAGGCTAATATTCATGAAGCTTTGGGGACAAAAGCTAGTATCTATAGCAGTAATTCTAAAATGCTTATTAAATAAATGGCCCGGCAAGCACAGTGGCACTACTTCCCCCTGGGTATGGTAAGGAGTGAGAGGCTGGGAGATAAGTTTGGCTTAAGACTTTAAATAGGCTTTCCTGGCCTCCTCCTGTGACTTGAATGCCCTCAGATTTTCAGATAAACAGATAGGATTCTCCACTCCCATATGGGCTGGAACGAGTGGGGCACAGGACCCATGCCAGGTTTGAGATCTTTCGCCAAGTCTGAAACAGCATCTCATGGTCTTCTCCTAAGAAGGAGTTAATCTGTTCCCATTTGGGTGGGAGATAATTTCCTCCCTGGCATCTTGCGTCTCTCTTCTTCCTTCACTCCACCCTCAACAAATGTGCATGTGAAGATATGAGATGAAAGTGCTGAGGCATCCACTGATTTCTACTTCCCTTTGAAATTTCAGTTCCCTTATTTACAAAAGTACTTCGGCTTGATGATCATTTCTCAACACCCCCTCAGCTCAGAAGCTTCAGAAGCTCTCATCAGGCCAGCTCTCCGGCAGCAGCTGCCCCCACAGGAGGATGAAGATCTCCAGGGCTGTGAGCTCCCTCCTCCTCATCATCATTGTCACCATCACTCTTGGTTCTAAGACTGAACCCTCCTCACGTGAGTGCAGTGCTGTGAGCGCAATGCCCAGGCTTCTGTCCCACCTAGGCCCCATAGGGAAATTGCCGAGTAAGTTTGTGGGGGATACATGCTGGAGAAGCTCTGGAAGGAGGCCTGGTGTCTTTGTAAAGTGATTTCATCCTCACCCAGGCCCAGCTCGCTTCCTGTCCAGGCCACCAAGAAGGTGCCTCTCCACCCCTTCCATTTATCTCTCTGTCCTTAAGCAAAAGAGCAGCCACCAAATTTAGGGAGATTTCCCTAGGGAGAAACAGAATGTGGAGCCCCTCAAGGCCACTCTGCCGATTATCCTCCTGAGATTTGGGCCTACCCATTTCAGGGTTGGTGCTAACCTTCCATATCGCATACTTAGGTAGGGGCTAGAGCACCACACTTGTTCAGTTTCTTAGGATGAGCTGCCTTTACAGACAACTAAAAATCACCCTTCGATTTTCTTCATTTCCTTTTCAGAAACTGAAGGGAACTATAGAAAGCAGTTGAAATAAAGCTAGTCTAAAGTTAGTGAGAATCTCAATAATTTCACTTGCCTCTTAAGTCATTTGTTGGCTCAGGGAATGAAGGAGGTGGGTTTTCCCTTCTTAAAGAAGGGAGTCTGGAATGATGCTGGATAAGACCTTTCCTTCTCCACCCAAACACCTGCCTCTCAGTGACCTTGGGCCACCAGTGTCTGTCCAGGCCGGTCACCTAACGTGCCCACCCCATCACTCCCCTCCATAGCCAAGGTGGCTAGACTGTACAGGGCCTTTGGCCTAAAAGGCCCTTCTAGCTCTTCCATAGTTCAAGCTTGTGTGTGATTTCACTGTCTCTGCCACAGTACTGCTATATAAGCTATGACGTTGCAGAATCAGACGATAACTAATCACCCAATCTAGTGACTTATTTTGTAAATGTGTGTCATACAATTTTTTTCTTCAAGCAAAATCTCACAAAGAGGTGCAAATGTAAACAACAGCCAAAAGGGGCTGACTGTGGACCTAAATCCAGGACTCTACTCAAAGTAGTCCCTGAGCTCACAGAGGCCCCCAGGAGTTCAGCGCAGAAGTCACCAACCCAGCCTCACTGACAGATGAGGACATGCGAGGGGATAAAGCAGAGAGGGCACAGAGCCCGCAGAGGCAAAGGGGGTGAGAAGCTGGGTATCCCAGCTGCCAGGCTCAGGCTGCAGTCCTTGGCGTCCAAGTCGTTCCCTCTTTCGAGGGTATGAGTTCAAAGGGGACGTGGGCAGGATGGGGTGCTCGGGCGACTGGGTCTGCAGTCCCAAATGGCATGTGTCTCAATTCCTACTGGGGTTTCTTCCAAACCTTTCTCCTGTTTCAGCACCCCTGCACACTTGCCCTCAGGGACAGTGAGTGCACTAAGATCTTGCTGTCTTCCTTTGGGAGTTGAAAGTCTCCAGGGAGGTTTCAAGAAAGGGAAGGAGGGAGGTTGCTTCTGAAGAAGAAAAAGAGGACCCTTGACTGAGTCTCCCCGCAGTGCTCTTTGAATCCTGTGGGGGCTCTGGCCTCTTCTTTCCCTTTCTTCCTCCTCAGGTTGCAGGCGCAGCCAGCAGACATGGCCTTGACTGGGGCCTGCCAGCCTCAGCTCCCTGCCTGCTTTTTCCTCAGGAGGACCCTACCACCCAGCCGAGTGCTGCTTCAACTTCACTGTCCACAAGGTCCTGCGTTCTCGGATTACATGGTATTATGAGACCAGCAGCCAGTGCTCCAGGCCTGGGATTGTGTAAGTAGCCCACACATGACAATGGGGGGGAAGGGGGGTGATAATGGGGGAAGAGGGCAGCAGGGTAGGGGGATCCAGATAGGGACTGCCCAGGGCCTCCTCAGCTGTGTGACAAAGGGAGTAGCCAGGGACCTGACTGGAGCCAGCAGGGGGGAGGAAGCTGGGTTGATGACTGGGGAGCCCCAGGGGAGTGGGCAGCAGGCTGGAGAGTACTTCCTGGGCAGGGCCCCTGAGGCCTGATGGGCCCTGAGTCCTCAGGGAATGAAGAGAGAGATTCAGAAAGAAGACCAGGCACTGAGCTAGCTCTACAAAGGCCAGATGAGGAGTTTGAGAGGAGAGAGAATGGGCTCTGACTTCCCAGCTGCCGACCTCCTCAGACCTCGGGTTAGTAATCCTCCCCCTTGCTCCACAGCTTCATCACCAAGAAGGGCATTTCCATCTGTGCTGACCCCAGAGAAGACTGGGTCCAGGACTACATCACAGACCTGAAGGAGAAATGAGTGGCCCAGAGTAGTGGAGAAGGGCACAGTGGGAACCTTATAAAAAATAGGTCAAGGCCCTGTTTTTGCCTCCTGCTCTCAGCCCACCGCCAGCTGCCCTGCCCTGAATTAAAGACCATTCACCCCTTCTCTGCCTCGCTCAGTGTGCTCAATGCTCCTCATCGGCAGTGGACTGAGGACACCTGGGCACACCCTCAGCATGGAGCCAGCTCTGCAGAAGTTTGGCTGGAGCCAAGTACAGAAAATAGATCCAGCCTATGGTGGAGGGGTGGGGGATAGTGGGACGCTGAGGAGAAAGTGCAGGAGACCCTCAGTGTAAAGGCCACCTCCCCAGCAATCACAGTAACAGACTCCGTTCCTGTTAGTCCAAGCGCTCTGCTGAGCAGGCTGTCTTGTTTAAGCTTCACAAACTGGAGTTCAGAATTATCTCCTGATTCGGCAGTCACAGGTAGCATCAACCCCCACAGTCTCCTTTTCTGTGCTGCTTCCAAGGTCTTTGTTCACTGCTGTCTGGGATGGGAATGATCCACAGGAACATTTTATCCACTCCTCCCCCGACTTATGAACACCTGGCTACTGCACTGTTCGACTGTACTACACTGTTTCACTCGTTTGAATCCCTCACAAGGCCTTAAGAAATCCTGGCCCATCCATATGTTCAGGAAATGGATGGATGGACGACGGATAGATGGACGGATGAATAAATGGGTAGGTGGAATGAAACAAGAATCAAGGGGAGGTCAACACTCCAAAATTAATAGCCAGCTGCCCCCAAGGTGTCTCCATGCCATCTTCAGGGCTCCCGGAGGAGCTCAGCGCACTTGGCGTAGGAACATGACCAGTACAGGCCTGTGGCCTCCTTCCCTGACCCCCAGGCAAGAGCTGGCAGGGGGGCTGCATGCTACGGGACACCAGGCGCCTCAGACCTCCTCTTCTGCCCCTCCAGGAACATCAACACCTTCAAAAAAGCCACAGCTTCACCACTAACTACCTTGAACCCACCAGGACCCATTCATTTTTCGTCTCTCCCCCTTTACGAACAGCCTCTAAGGATGCCATTTCCTGTTCTGCCCCTGCTGCCCTCTATTCTCAGCCCCAGCAACACTTCCGTTATGCTTCTAAAGTGCAATCTACGTGTCCTCAAACTCTCCCTGTTGTGAGCAGTGCAGCCCTGGCCTGGGGTTGAGCCATTTCAGGAAGTTGAGTCAAGGTTACCTCCGGAGTCTTGAGGACGAAATGCAGCAATGATCGTTTAGGGGAGCAGCTGAAGGAATAACAGGAGCGATGTTAAGAACTTATCTAGGAAGTGGATGAGAAGTCATAGAGGCCTTGGGAGTGCAGCAGAGGGGAAGTTGGGGAGACAGGTTAAGTGTCATTTGCGGCTAAGTCCAGGAATGGGGGTCTGTACCTAGTCACCCCTTTCTCACACTGTCTAGCATGCATGGCTGGCTGGGACTACCACGTGGGACTACCACGTGGCTCAAAGGTGGCCCAGTGGGTTGTCCAGGTACGCTGTGGGGGCTTTCATGGCCCCCTCTCCCCACCAGCACAGCGCTAAATAAAGTCCTTAGAAAAGAGAAAGAGGGCCCTCCCTGCTGGCACTGAGAGGCTTAAGCTACTTCCACATGAGTTCGATCCCCGCCTGCCCTGGAGGAGATCCACATGGCGTGGCAGACCTCTCCTGACCCGCCCGCTGCTCCCCTCAGCAATGTACTTCGTCGATCTGCCTGTTCTGCTCCCCACTCTGTCCCTGTGAATCCTCTCACCCTCCGCATCTCTGGCCTGTACCCCAGTTCTGTATGAATAAATAAATAAATCTTTAAAAAGAAAAAGAAAAGAGAAAGGGATTGAAAGAAAGCTAGATGCTTGTACCCCAGAGAGAATGCTACTTGTGCTGCCAACTTCCTACCCTCTACCTGTTTCTACCATCTTTTTTTTTTTTTTAAAGATTTATTTATTTATTCATACAGAACTGGGGTACAGGCCAGAGGCTCAGGGGCGGTGAGAGGCTTCACCAGAGACAGAGTGGGGAGCAGAACAGGCAGATCGACGAAGTACACTGCTGAGGGGAGCAGCGGGCGAAGTACACTGCTGAGGGGAGCAGCGGGCGGGCCAGGAGAGGTCTGGCTCGCCATGTGGTCTCCTCCGGGGCAGGAGGCAGGCGGGAATCGAACTCGTGCGGAAGTGGCCTCAGATTCTCAGTGCTGTGCTTCAACCCGCTGCGCCACCAGGGAGGGCCAGTTTCTACCATCTTTTATGAGGTGACAGGGAAGTGACAGAGCCACTCTGGCAGGCCTCCACACACCCACCTTCTGTTGCCCCAGGCCTTTTATTCTCCCTAAGGCTACACTTGCCATGCTGTCTGCCTGGAAAACACAGGGCGGGGGGGATGCAAAGATGCCCTGCACACCACATGACCCGCCACACACTCTCAGTGTAAACTTTGCTTGAGAATCAGTTCCTGACCAGCAGTGTGTAGAGCCGTGTAGCTGGTGGGGTAGAGAGGCCAGAAGTGCCTTTTGGGGAGTCAGGCTACAAGGAGAAGACTGCGGAACCAGAGCAAGGATCAATCAAAGTGCTCTCAGGGGTCCTAAGCTTTGCCACCAGCTGGAAGCAAGAGGTCACATTGCAAAGAGCTCAGGAAGGCTCTGCCTGCCCTCCTGTGTGGCAGCTCCATTGATGAGCTGTCAGAGGAGCTCTAAGGAAACACAAGGGCACCAGCCAGTCGAGCCAGCATCTTCTCTCAAAGAGAGAAGAGGCACCATTTCTGGGTGAGAAGAACAGTCTGACGACCATTTGTTCTCCAGGTCAGTGGGCACATGTTGCATATTTTCTGTGTGCCAGGCTCTGAGTCAAAGGCTTTACAAGCATTTCCTCTACCAACCCTCACCATGAGGCTAGGATCTGTCTTTTGCAGCACTTTGTCAACGGCTGCTCTATCCCAGCGCTTTTGTTTTGTTCCCTTTTACCCTGACTGGTCTGCTGGGGTGTCAAGGGCTGGTCTTGCCCCAGGTGGCATATGAACAGTGAGGAAATGAAAAAGCAGCTTCCACATCAAGCTTTGCAGTACCAGAGAAAGGGCATTAGACTAGGGTGGGGTAACCTTCAATAAATAACATATTCTTCATTGCCCACTTAATTCCTAACTTTCTCCTAGCATGAAAGCAACTTAATATCCTTTATTTTTTTTCATGGGATTCTCCACATTCCCCTATGACCTTGGTCAAATTTGGGAACTGGAAACCAAGTACTGTACAAAAATGAACAACAACATAAGAAAATTTTAAAAATTGAGAACTGGAGCACTTCATGGCACCAAGGGCAGAAATACTCAATCTTGTCTTTCTTTCTGTCTCCACTCTCTCCATTTCCAGAGAGAGCCGAGTCAGACAAAATTCAACATTCCCCAAAAGGCAATTAAAGCTATATAATTAAGAAAAATAAATAAATTTGGTGATGCAAGTCTGAATACTGGTACTTTTGTAGTGATTGGTTTCCTGTTTCCAAATTTGACAATACTCATAGGGGAATGTGGAGAAGCCCTTGGAAAAAATGGAGATTAAGCTGCTTTTACTCTAGCAGAAAGTTAGGAATCAAGTGAGCATAAAGAAAATTTTAGTTATTGAATGGTGACCCCACCCTAGTACTGCAAGCAAAGCTTGCTGCGGAAGCTGCTTTTTCATTTCTGAACACTTGGGTCTGGTGCACCACCCCCCACAGCTGAGTTGGAAATAGATGAGTCTGCCTTCCACTGCAGCCAAAGCTGTTCTGCCCAGGGATGGCCACTGACTCTGGCTGGGCGCTCAGATTCTCAGAGAGATTTGAAGTTTGAAGCAGAGAAACACAGACTGGCTGTAGCTAGGGAGAAGGGAGTTCCTGGCAGCCTCCCAATAGAAGGGATTCAACTCTGCGCTGAAGCTCCCAGGAATGCACAGACTCCCGCTGCTTTTCCAGGCTTGGAGGTCCAGCCCATCTCAGTTGTATGAGATGCCTGAGCATCCTTCCCATCATCCTCCCCCTTTTTTTAAGTACCCAAATGGCCACGTTGGCAAATAGCACCTTGGAGATAACTCTTTGTTGGCTTAGGTTAGTTCTGTGTTTGTGTTTAAAAGATGCTATTTTTTAAAGTGGACAATTCATTGTCATTAGGTACTTTCACACTGTGCAACTATCTGTCTATAGGCAGAACTTTCATCAACTAAACTCTGGGTCCTGAAAGCTAAGGGTTTCAGCTTCTGAAGAGCAGCTCTAGGCTGACTTGATCTCAGGAAAATTAGTAGGGGGCGCCACCTACTGGCCAGGAACCATAGCGACTAGTCGCTAAGTTCTTTAAAGGGTTCACCTACCTGTAGCTTGGTCTAAGAAGAGAAACCAGCCTGAGCTGGGATACTGAGATGGCCCCTCCTGTGACCACATCTCCCCGGCCTCACTTATGGCCAACCCTTTTTCCGGGAGATCAGTTTTTCAGCCACACCTAGAAGCAGAGACGACGATCTTGCTCTCACAGAACTACATTTTAGTGGGGGAAAGACACTATATGGAGTGGTCCAAGAATATTTGGGGTACTGATAGAGATAGGATAGTGAGGGGGGAGATTTCACATGATAGACAAGGAGGGGGTGACCTCATGCTTCCTCTGAGAAAACAATGAGATTCTTAGAACACGTTTACTGATAAACCTAGAACTGGCTGAGATCCCCAAACTACATTCTCCTAAGTCATACAAAGGGGAGCAGTGGTTGCTTCTTTGATTAAGAAAAAGAACAGAAGCTTAGGGCATGGTGATTTCTTCTTTAATTGGGGGAAAACAAAGGATGAGGCAAGAACAGAAGCTTCTCCTATAGCCTGCAGGGGCCCTCTCTGTTCACTACCCGTATCTTTTAAGTAGTGGTAACAGAACTCCCAGGACTCCCGGGACCTGATTGGCTTCTAGTTCTCATACTAATGTGACAAAAGGCCTACTCTGAGCCTACTAGGAAAAGTCTATCTGATGCTTTTGGGAGATTAACCCCACAGAACAAAGGTCATGTATCTTGTAGCCATACACCTCAATTGAAACCTCGGCTCCAGGCCCTCCCTGGTGGTGCAGCGGGTTAAAGCACAGCACTAAGAAACTTAAGCCACTTCTGCATGAGTTCGATGCCATGGAGGAGATTCACATGGCGCGGCAGACCTCTCCTGACCCGCCAGCTGCTCCCCTCAGCAGTATACTTCGTTGATCTGCCTGTTCTGCTCCCCACTCTGTCTCTGGAGAAGCCTCTTGCCCTCCGCATCTTTGGCCTGTACCCCATTTCTATATGAATAAATAAATCTTAAAAAAAAAAATCTCGGCTCCAATACTAATTATGTGTTTGTGGCAGCTAGTTGTTACTGCATAACAAACAACCACAAAGGCTCAGCAGGATACAAAGATAAGTATTTATTTAGCCAGCTGAAGGTTGGGTCATCTATTCTGAGCTTGGCAGAAGCAACTCTGTTCTGCTGTCTGCCTATGAAAACTGATAGGATAAAGACTAACAGTCCAATAAAGTTAATTATGCAACTTGTTTCAAGAAAGTTATGCAACTTGTTTCAAGAAAGTTATGCAACTTGTTGCACTTCTATTTTTATCAATAAACCTTCTCAGCATAAAATATGTTGAGAAGGAATAGAAGAGGATGGGAGTGGTAAGGTTTGGGTTTTTTCTGATGAGTCTGACGAGGGGCTAGAAGTTGGATAAGCTTACAACTGGGTGTCCCATCTATCTTTGTTCAGGAATGAACCAAGGTTAGGAAAGTCATTGGTAAGTAAGAATAATCACCGAATAGAAAGGGATTGTTGGATCACGTTTTAAGCTGCAATGTGACCCTAGGACAATGCTTTCTGTGGGTTTGTAGCTTCCTTTATCTGTTATCACTGTGTCTGTTACTCCAGTGTCTGTTTAGTAACAGTATCAATGTCTGATTAGTAACAGGGCTAATTTTTACTTTCTTTCTTCTGAGCTGGTGATACTCTTGTATGCTTTCTCTTCTACCTGTGTCCACTAGGTCAGTCCAGGCATGTCTTTTTCGTGTCAGTGGCAGAAGAATAAGACATGATCCTAACACTGCACATACGTTTCACAGTTTTTCTTGGCTTCCCCTGCTAAGATCTCACGGAGCTTGCTGCTGCAGCATATTTACTGGGAAGATCTCACTGACCAAAGCAAGTTTCATGATTGAGCTTGAGTCAGAAGTTGGAAAAATTCACCACAAAAATCACATGGCAAAGAATATATAAGCCAAATACGGGAAAGGAGTGAAGAATTAAGAGTAATACTCCATTTTACCAGAAAGTGTAATGTTGAGCAAGTCTAACACTTCAATTCCTTCTTTATATAAAACAGACCCTAGATTGCAGAAAATTCAATGAATGAATATATACAAAGAATACATTTGATACAGTAATCCCAAATAAGCTTTCCACATTCCCATGCCTCTTTTCCTGCCATAAACATCCTACTTACATGAATCCCAGAAAGGAACACGGTTTAAATGAGAAAATTAAGGTTCAAAGAGATTGAGTGATTCGCCCAGATCACATACCTAA